CAGGAAACTAAGCGCGACAAAACAATTGTGCGATAGTTTAGTGAAAGGTGTGCGCGCTGAAACACAAGCTGACGGTTCCTATGGCGATGCATCGTTTGTGTCATTGTTGACATATCGTAAAAACACTTTTGAAGTATAAAATGTGGATACGTTATTAGATTTTCAGCTGGTATCTTCCTGATTTTACTTGTGGTAAGTAATGAATACTTTGTAAACTTCTCTGATAAAAAAACAATAAAGAAATAAGGGCCTGAATAAATCAACATGATAATACACATCGCACATGATAATACACTTGCCACTTGTTACAAGAGACTTGTTGCTTGTTTTTAGTAATGAAAATCCTGATTCTTAAGCTTTAACGGCTATTAAGAATGTATGGAATTTATATATTGTGTCGACCCTTCGTAGGGAAAATGGCATTAAGATATCTAAAAACATGTTTGATGTCGACATAAAATAGCACATAATACTACTAGTCGATATCTATGCTAATGTTATAAACAGGAAAGATTTGTATTTTTGCGTGTTTGAAATAACTCAAAAACTACTGGGTCGATGTCAAAAATTCTTTCACCATTAAAAAGTACGGTATCAGTAAGTAATATGGGCAATATTTTTTAATTTCACGGCGAAGTCACGAGCAACAGCTAGTTAACCATAATTTTCTAGTATAATGGCGAGTGGCGATAGAAAGCGTCCATTGGGAAAAGCCTCCAGTAGCACCGGCCGCGCTTGCCAGTCGCGTTTTGTACCGGCGCCGCGCAAGCACCCTGTGCCGCCTCGCTTGGCGCGCGCTGGCTTGCCGCAAGAACTCCACAGGGACAGTACTCTGCTTAGAGCCAACACCAGCTACTATCCTGAAGGTAACTCAAAGTGTAGAGAGTAAAAAATAACAAAACATAAAGGTGCATATAATTCATATTGATTGAAAGAGTTACATATCTGTGTGAGATAACTCCAAAATGACATCAGTTTTTCAATTAAAAAAATTAGACCACATGTTGAAAAGTATTTTTTTTGTCTATCAGCTCCCAATCAATCTTTGATCGACCCCTTTAGATTATCGACGCACATGAACTCAATTCTACCCTTGCCACGAAAACATGTAGTTAAATCTCTTATAGGTTTATGGTAATATAGTTAGCTATGTTAAAGTCAAAGAAATTCAAAAAGCATATAGAGGTTGACAACTGATTTGTGTGAGTACTTTTCAGAAAAAGTCCCGGTGAACAATGTTTGTTACTATGCTTCCTCTATACATTATTAAATGTCTGATAAAAGTAAATATTACGTAAGTTCAGGCTCACGTCAAAGTATTGTGACAGGAGAAAGCGAAGGCGGATGCAGCGAGTTCCCGCCGCTCATGCTGCGCAAGTCATGGACGCGTGGGGTACCTTACAGGGACAGCTTCGATCATGCCAGGCCTACAGATTCTACAGGTAACCGCAACAAACTGTCGTTAACTGTGGCTGTACTGACTTGGTTTGGTTATAGCTTTCGATTAATACCAATGAGAATATTATACGGTAGAAGAGCCTTGGTCTACAATTGAACTCGTTTAGGTAATTGCTACACGCCGGCAACAAAGACGATGCGAACGATCCACATGCCGCCGAAGCGGCGGCCGCCTCCAAAGTTGTACGGTCCCCTCGGACCTAACGGCGAGTTGCAGTTTCCGCCGCTGAAACCTTGGGCCGAGAGGGAGAAAGAGAGATTGGATGCTATCAAGAGGGAACAGGACAAGAAGAAGTTGCCCAAAGGTCAAGCATTCACATCTCTTGTAGTTTGTCCTATTAGTGCTATTTTATATTTTAGCATTTAATTGTAGCTTCTATTCTGTTTGTAGCTCAAAATGTTTAATGTAATTCATTCACTTATAGGGCTCGTGCTACTAGAAGACTTAGTATCAGGAGCATATGAACGACGGAAGGCTGCAGCTGTAGAAGCAAAAAGAAAAAGAATAGAAAAGAAGCGACAAGAGAAAATAGCGGCTGAGGAGGCGGCAAAAGAGGCTTTAAAGAAGTATGAATATTTTCCTAAACAAATGTGTTTTTTTGGAAAATATCTTTGTTTTCGATAAGTTGAAAGTATATTGACGTACATGTTATTGACAGGCATCTTGCTAAGCTATCGTTCGAAGTGCCGCGGGATCCTGATGATCAGAAGCTGGAGCTGCTGATGGTAACCGAAGCAGAGCACTACAGATACATCCACCCCAACGACTTGGAGAGGATTCAGTACTACATGACAACTGTGAGTCATAATTTGGAGTTGTTTTCAATATAATATCGTTAGCATTATTTTTTTATTACTTATACCACATTTACAATGTAACCGCGGTGCAATTCGCAGTCGCTGAACAATAGACACTTGCCGGAGTTTCCGGTACATCTGTACCGGCGCGCCAAGCAGCAAGTGGACAAGCAGACAGTGGCCATCAAGCGCCGCCTCATGGTGCTCACGTACCAGGCCTGCGTGCGCCAGAGCGAGGCAGATATACGAGAATCCTTTGTTGAAGCTATGAAGAGGTGATTTATCACAATAATGACGAACATTTTGACTAAATTATTCTACAATATCTATTCATTTTACTGCTATAGACTGATATTGTTGTAGATGCATCTTGACGTACGTGCTAGAAGACCCTTGCGAGCGCGGTAGGCTGAGCATTGCTCACGTACCTTCGCTGTGGCCGGCGCTCGTCATTCACGGCCCTGTGCCCTGGCATTCCGCTGCCGTTCGCGCCAAACAGGTCATTTAGACTTAAAAGAAACTATCTACGATATTATACGATACGATATAGTTACTAAGATATCTTAATAACTAATTAATTTTTTGATAAAATCTTGGACATTTTCAGTTGAAAAGATCTTTAAACTATATTTCTACTTCGACAGGCGCTGTTTTACCGCCACTATCATGGTAATCCAGTATTGTTGGAGCTGCGAAGATTATGGCAGCAGAGGTAAGATCAACACAAACCCACTCAAGCCTTGTGATCTCCTGGTTATTTTTTATTGTTCGTTATAACAATATAGTCATCAACAAGTTTTTTTGCTTTCCTAGGTATCAAAACATGTTCATTTGTGACATGCGGAAGATGCAAGCCGATGGGCCATTCCCTCACTACCCGTCAGA